GCGGGCTCTCAGGACAGAAAGAGAGCGCAGAGGTACGTGGCAGGTGTACTATCACGTGAGTGACAGAAACAGACCATCGGAGATTACAGAGTACATGGAGAAGGAAAATAACCACTAACTGTTCCTTGGAGAAATGATAAATGGAAAATGTAGACAGGTGCCTACTAATAACTCACAATTGCTTCCCAGCTCAGGGGAATGAAGATGGGTTTGGAAAACTTATCTAATCATTTTCTAAACATTTTCAGATCATCTGGTACCAAAAGGTGTTTAGACTTTTCTCAAGAACCAAGAAAATTCTTCCCTTAGAGAATATATAGCATAAGAAATTCTCCAGCTCTTTCAATCAAATAAAGTTATCAGTTGGAATAAAACTCTCTTAGTATGTCTTGGGCTATAGTATAGGGCATCGTATTATATTTATTAATAAGGCACAAATGAATGCTATAAAGTTCCAACAGAAAATTAATTTTTATAAATATACAAAGTAGAGTTGGCAGATTTAGCAAATAAAAATACAAGAGCCCCATGAAATCTGAATTTCAGATAAATAACAAATATTCGTTTGGTATAAGTATGTCCCATGCAATATTTAGGACTGACTTGTGCTAACAAAATTATTCATTGTTTATCTGATATTCAAATTTAACTGGGCTTAAGTATTTTTCTTGCAACCCTGGCAAAATGCCTCCTCCAGGCAACCCAGAAGCTATCTGGAGATAATCACTAAGTCTGTAACAGGCCAAGCTTCAAGGAGTTAAGAAGTTATCAGTGAGGAATTTGGATTCACACCTGATAAATAATGTCATTTGATAGTGGATTGAAATAAGGATCCTCTCTGAGAAGGATTTTGTGCCATAAAAATATATTCTTCCTTTGGTAACTAACAAGTGAATCACTTCAAATGCATGTGTCTCTTTGGGATTCAGCTATATCGTATAACCTCTTCTCTCCATCCCCTAATTGTAGACTTAAGAACTTCCCCCACATGGAAAGAAAGCTGCAGTCTGGACAGGTGTGAATGACAGCTGTACCTCCCGCTACAATGCTTCTAGCAGGGAAAGGGGCCTATGAATGCTACTACCTTTTCAGGTGACAGGAGAAGCCACTTTCCTAACTCTACATCCCTAGTGTCATCCTGGGGCTGGACCACTCCCAGAAATCTCCCAGAGAGCCTTCCTCCCTACTGTGGTTGCTGAGAGGAGAACAGCAGGCTGAAGGAAAAGTCATCCTTATAAAACAACCAGCCATTTGCAGCAATTTTATTTGCAAAGATTTCCTGCTGTGCCTAAATGGTGTGGCTGCTTGGTTTGTTATTTAAAAGAGTGACCCTAGTGAGACCAGAGCTCTGAAGGGGGTGGAGAGTCTGATTCAGACCAGGGTAAGTAGGAGGAGCTTGAACTGAATGTGCCTAATTGAATTCCACTGCTGCTTTTGAGAGTGCAGTGCCTGGTGATAAAACTGCAGACTTGGGGCTAACTCTATAAACCCGTTAGTCAACCCCAATCCTTTCTGGGTCCTGCTAGGAAACTATACTAAAATATTCTCAAGACAGGGCAGGGATGGAGAGTCAAAAACCAGAAGATAAATTTGGATGGAGAGGAAGGAAAAGAAAGACAATAGAGATAAGGGAAGAATGCAGGTATATGGACAGGGGAGACATCCAAGAGATGTCCAGATGTCCAGATGCAGAACCCAAGTAAAGGCAGGGAACTGGGGCAGTTTGCAGACAAATTGCTTTAGTGGAGAAGTAGGTAGGTAAATCTGAAGACACTTCTTAAGCAGTACATTTGGGAAATCAAGTGAAGCTGGACTCCCTCTCTTTCTCAATCTCTCTGCTCTACACTGGTGCCTGAAGAACTGATGAATAATAATCCTTGTTCCCTGTAGGATCGCTATGCTGGAGAAGATGGATGTGGGCCTCTAGGACTGAGTAGGGCCCCCTTCCTGGGTGGCCACATGGGAGCATCTCAGGCCTCAGAGAGATGGCAACAAAGGTTAAAACCAATTGCGATTTCAGAGATATGTGGCTAGAGAGCAGGCTTCAGAGATGACATTTACATTGTAATGTAACATAAGCCAAGCAGGAAATAATAATATCTGCAGATCATTGTTTACCCAGCAGAAGTTTTAAGTTAAAAGCAGGCATTCCTGGGCCATATTTATGAGCTTGAAGGTAACATTCACTTGATTTCTTTGTGTTGTTGGGCAGATGTTTTAGTCTCAGTAGTCCTTCATTGTTAGCTTTGGTTTTAATTAGCAAACGTTTGGGAAAATAATCTGAATCAGATTTGAATTTAACACTAAAAACAGTGGGAGGAAAACCAAAGCTACAGAACTGAATCAACAGTACATTTTTCAAGGGAATCTTTATTATCTTGCAAGAATAGGGCAGAACGGGAAGGCTCCTGCAGAGCAGGTGTGCACTGAGACTTGGAGGGCGTCATTCACTTCCCTGTGCCATGCACTGTGCAGGAAATGGGGTCAGAGAAATGAGTGCTATGGGAAGGTCACTACTCTCACAGAGCTCACAGGGAAGGGAGATAATAAAACATGCAATTGCCAGTTTGAAGAGTGGCTTTATCGGAAAAATACAAGATGCAGTGAAGGCATATAATGTAGTAATGTTAGTCCAAGGCTCAGGGAAGACTTCCCAGCAGAAGTAATGCCAAGACTAAAGCCTGATGAATCTGAGGAATGAAGAGCATGAGGCAGGTAAAGGAATATCAGCACCTGTGTTTGGTGGGAAGGGGCACGCTGGAGAGTAAGTCTGAGGCAGAGAGAGGAAAGAGCTGAAAGCAAGAGAGAGCATGGTGTTTTCGAAGAACTAAACTAAGTTCAGTGTTGCAGGAAGGTAGTATGCAAGGCAGAGAAGAGCATGAGAGAATTTTGGAAAGACTGGCAGGGCCCATGAGGCTGAAGGCTTTATAAACCATATTCAAGAGAATGGACCTCATTATAGGAGCAATGAAAAGTCCCTGAAAGGTATTAAGGAAGAGAATGACAAAATCACATTTTTAGTTTTGATCACCCTGGCTGCAACGTAGATTGAAAAGCAGCAGAACTGGGAGGAGAAAGATCATGTAAGAAGCCCTGCAGTAATGCACATTAGAAAAAATGGACTGGGATGTTGTAGGAGAGATGAAAACAAGAACGGCATTCCAGAGGTATGGGGGGACTAAAATCCAGGGCAAACAGTATGATTGACTATGAGGTGTCAGGGATATGGAACCAAGGGCATCTTGGAAATTTTTATTTTAGGTAACTTTGTAATAGGATATATCATTTACAGGCAGTGCAGATTTGGCTAGGAGAGGATGGGAGACTTGTAGGAGAAGAGACAGAAGTTCAGCTTTGGATACTGTGAGTTCTAAGTGGCCATGGAATCCAAAGAAACATATCTGGCCACAGCTAAGGATACAAATGTAGAGCTCAGGGGAGAGGTTCCAGCCAGAGATGTCTCTTTGGAAAATATACAGACATTAATTGTATCCTTGGGAATGGATGGGAAAGAAAGAGGGTCTAGGACAGAACCCCAAGAAGTGCCCATATTTAAGGGCTGCATAAAACAGGAGTGTGCTAACGAGCCCCAGATGGAACTGGAATAGAACGAAACTAAAGAGGTAGAAGAAAAACCAAGACAATCTGTACCAAGCAAGGTGCAATATCCAAGGATGATGGATAGAGCAACCTCTGGAGAGTTGATGGTGGAAGAATATCAGGATTGAATCACAGATATAACTACTGTGAACCTGGTTTGAGTTTCAACCCTGAATTGAACCTCTACTCTACAGATTGCAGTCCAGTTCCCTTCTAGAAGTTACCCATGCAACCTCCACTGTATGTTTTTCTAACATCCCAAGTATACCTTTTAATATTTTATTTATTAAGCTAGATGGTGAGTACCTGAGTATGCACTAAGTTTTTCTGAATACCTTTCTGTACGTCTTAATACAACTAAAGATAACTTCAAATGGATGTCCAAAACATTGTTGAATGAAAGAAGTCAAGCTATTGAACAGCAAGTATACTTATATTTCCATATATGTAACATTGTAGATTTATATCCATATTAATGTACATGCACAGAGAGATATCTAGAAAGATGTTCACTAATTATTTCTACAATGATTATCTCCAATTAATTGGATTTAAGGTCATTTTTCTTTTTAAAACACACTTCTTTATGTTCTATTTAGTTTGACTTTTTGTAATACACATACATAGAAGTTTTATACAAATAGTAAAACCACAAAAGTGTAGTATAGAATCTTCTACCCCACATAGTCATTTATTACCCCACGGAGGAGGCACTGCAGTCATGACTGGGTTATGCAAGGTCTTGCTAAACAAACCACACTAAGAACAACCATAAAAGCCGCCTCTACAGCAGCATCCTCACCCTTAAAGGCAGAGGCTGAAAAAGCAAAAGAGACAAAAACCAAGCCTGTTTCTTTAAGGGAAGAATATCCTTCATATGACTACAGATCCACATAACCTGTTCTTCAATCTTTCTACAATACGTCAACATTCGAAAGGTAAGTGGACTGGTCCTCCCTTATTTGTAAGTCTCCTGCATCTTTCCTGGTGATCAAGTAGTACTTACAGATCAGAGAGGCCTAGGTTCAACTCCAAACTGACCACTCACTTGCAGCATAACTTTGTATAATTTATGCCTCCAAGCCTATTCTCTTGTATTGTAAAATAGAAACAATTGTTAAAACCTGACTTATAGAGTTATTTTGAGGATCAAATGAAGCCAAATGTGCAAAACCCTTAGAGTAACATCTAACACTTAATAAGTGCTCAATAAGTGAAAGTTGTTTTGGCAAGGTGGGATCCAAAACACTCCCCCAATCATGACCAATTGCCATGCCCAGGGCCAGGCTTCAACCTGCTACCATCTTGAACTGTTCTTCCTGCAGTTTCTCAACTTCCAACCTGTCTTTGAAGCTCCCCTCTCATCTCCACCACCAACACGCCCTCTGTTCCACACTCACCTATTTAGCATATTGGACTGGTAGATTCTCTTCTCATGGGTATTGTAACAGCTGCTTTTGGGCTCAGGGATGAAGCTGTGTTCGGACAGCATGTCAGAAGCAGCAGTGGTGATTATGGCAATTCCATCTCTCACTCTGGCGGGGAGGCCGTAGTCCCATTCATCATATGATACAGAGATGAGCCCAGTGGGGAACTCCGCAGGCACTGTGTCTGTATCCCCTGCCACCAGACTTGGCACGATCCACGTGTAGCCGTAGCCAGTCAGCCCTACTGAGTTGGCCACTTCAAAGATGTAGGTGGCTTCTTCCTTGGTACAGTAAAGAAGAATGATGGGGCTTTGAAGTTTCTTGAGCTGATTCTGGATCTTAGAATCTCCATCGTCCAGGGACATGTCCAGTAGGAGGACTTCCTCTAGCTCCCAGCCCACAAAGCTATTCTCAATGGTGCTGCGGATCTTGTTTACAAAGTCCTGGTAGCCAGGGAAATAGGTGGTGACGATAGAAAAGATGTACCAGTCATATTCTTCCATGATGTTGAGCATTACGGAAGCTTGCTGTTCAATTGATGGGCCAAACTGGAAGAACATGGAGGATTCATCCTAGAAAAAGAACAGGACAAGAAAAGGAAGAGAGAAAAAAATCAAACCAAAGATGGTAATGGAGATTTTGAACCAAGTGGGTACAAAGATTTGTGTTCATTACTTATTATTTATATAATGCCTTTACAAGTTTGTATTTATAATAAATATTTTAAAATATTTAAATTGCAGACATTTATAATATCTTTCTTCCAAAAATTGTCTCCTAGACTTTACAGAAAATCAACCTAGGTCTATACTTGCCTTGTCTGAAATCCTTGGGGTTACTGCCAGAGCCTAGGGAAGCTTCCCAAAATCAAATATGTTAATATTTCTATAGCAAAACATATGAAGAGTCACACAGTGTAGAATAAAGGCTCTAAACGGCCTCGTGTCAGTTCAGGTCAGGTTTTGTTGTCAAATGAGCTATACAAACACAAATACAGATGCTCATACAGACATACACATACATACTTTCCATTTTTCAAGGCTTTTGGATTTCTTCCTTGTGAATGTATATCACTCAGTCACAGAGTGCATAATCCAAAAATGTCATTGATCTACACATAAACCTATCTATGGAGGTGAGATAAGCTCAGTGGTCCAGAAGGTGAATAGTACTCAGGTACAGACATCAGGGAGAAGTATATGTAGTATGAAATTGGATCAGTATATATTCTATAAACATACAAATGTTAAATTAATATCGCATTTAGTTTTCTCTCTAACTTCTGCTCTGATGATAATATATGCAGAAAAGAATAAGGCTCAAACAGTATGTCTAAGCTGCAAGTTAAAATTATTGCCATTTGAACTCATATCTGATTAAGCTTTACTTCAGACATATAGAAGATATGCTCTTTCTCTGACCTACAGGACACCACAGATCTTGGTTTGACCTGGGCATTGCACACACACTCCACTGTCAATTCTGAGCATCTTCTGATTTCTCCTTCCTTTCCAGGGAGAAGCCATTTTAAATGTCTCCCATTTTAAGCTGTGTTTCACCTGCTGTTGTGAGATGTCAAGCCCTGCATTTTATCTCTACCTTTAGCTAGATGAATCCGAAACCACAAAATGAACACCCTCTCAGCCTTGTCCTCCTCTCTTGACTATTTCCCCTGATTTCCTCCTGGGTAATGGCATCTCTTTCCTTGCTCTGTGCCCCCTATCTTCTATCCCATGGCTCATCTCCATTTTATAGCAATCCAGGCTAACAAAACTGTGTCTTTTTCTAAGGGGCAGTTCCTTCTTATCCCCCAAAGAGAGCTTCAATGTACAGTTACAAGTGACCTGGGCTTTTAAACAAAATTATATAGTGGTTTCTTAGTTCAGGAACATATTGTTGCGCAGCTGAGAAATTGCCAAGCATTTCTTCGGCACCCCTTATTGAAAAAAATACAGACTGGGAAATATCCAGCTGGTATCCAAAAATCCTGATTCGGCAGTGAGAGCTGCCAGCCCCCGGCTCTGCCTGGGCCGTTTGTTCTCACAGCTTGAGCTTTTCACGTTTTCCACAGGCTACCCAGAATGAAACCCTAGATGCTTGGTCATATAGAAGTAATTTTTCCTGCTAAGGGTGAAATGGTGCTCACCAGCACTCTCTTTTCTGGACTTAAAGATGCAGCTGAAGGGGAGCTTCACGGGATCATGTAATTGAGAAAAGCAGGGAGGGTGAGGCACCAAGAATGGGTGAGTAGAAAAAAGGGAATGAATTCAAAATAGAATAATTATATCATGTGTATCTGTTCCAAACCCTGGCCAGTCCCTGTTCCGAGACTTCTCCTAATACATGAGTACAACTCTTAGGCAAAGCTGATCTTGTTGATAGGTTATATAACACAGTGGGACTTTGGTCAGAATGTTTCTGTCCTCCCCAAATTCATATGTTGAAATCCTAACTCCCAAGGTGATGGTATCTGATGGTATCAAGAGATGAGTGAGGCCCTCATAAATGAAATTAGTGCCCTTATTAAAGAAGCCCCAGAGAGCTGCCTTGCTCCTTCCACCCTGTGAGGACAGAGCAAGAAGGTGCTATCTATGAGTCAGAGCATGAGCCCTTACCAGGCACCAAATCTACTGGCACTTTGATCTCGAACTTCCCAGACTCCAGAACTGTGAGAAATAAATTTCTGGGTTTTTTTTTTTTTTTTTTTTTTTTTTTTTTTTTTTTTTTTTTTTTTGGCCATGGAAGTAGGTTTGGGAAAAAAAAAAAAAAAAGAAAAGTTAGGTCTTGGTGTCATGAAGCTGGGTATAGTGGCGCAATCTGCAGCTCACTGCAACCTCCACCTCCCTTTTTTTTTTTTTTTTTTTTTTTTTTTTTTTTTTTTTTGGAGTCTTGGTCTGTCACCCAGGCTGGAGTATAGTGGCGCAATCTCGGCTCACTGCAACCTCCACCTCCCAGATTCTAGCAATTCACTGCCTCAGCCTCCCAAGTAACTGGGATTACAGGCGCCCTCCACCATGCCAGGCTAATTTTTGTCTTTTTAGTAGACACAGAGTTTCAACACCTTGGCCAGGCTGGTCTTGAACTTCTAACGTCGTGATCCACCCGCCTCGGCCTCCCAAAGTGCTGGAATTACAGGTGTGAGCCACTGCGCCCACCCAAATTTCTGTTCTTTATAAGCTACTCAGTTTATAATTAGCCCGAAAGGACTGAGACAAGTGGGAATCTGGGACAATACAATTTTATTCCAAGAATTGTCAGTGGCCTACAGAGGACGACGACAGGAAAGGAAGACCAGCGGCAGGGTGACACCCCTAGAATAGCTGTCACTTTAAAGAGACACCTGTTTGTTTTTCCTGTCACGCTTCCAGTTAAAGAAAAACTGGGGAATTCCCAAATAAGAAATATTAATACATGAGCTTCCACAAGCCCAGTGGTTATAGCAAAGTGAAGAAATGTTCCAATATGCTTTAAGATGTACAAGCTTGGGATGAAAGTCATTCCAGCAGCAAACAAAGCAGGTCTACCCATTCTGTGATAAATGAACAGATCTTATCACAAGAAGGCCCTTGAATAGATGCAAAGTTCATGTGCTATGAAACCACAGCTGGCTCAAATACATAGCAAGAGACACAAAAGCCATGAGGGTCCATAGTAAATGGGCTCATGTTAATTAGATTGAATTTAAAAGAAAACCAATCTATTAAATACCAACTTGGCCCTCCCCTCTGTTAGGCTTCTCTTAATACTGTCTCTCCCCCAATTGCAAATGGCTTGTAAAGACACTGCCAGCTACTGTGTGAAGGAAGCCAATGCATAATGAGAGTGAGAAATGAGAAAAATTAATATGGCTCCATCATCCCTCACTACATCCTTATTGTACCTTCTAGTTCTAGTATCCTCCACAATCTGATCTTTTTCCTGATTCCTCTGCCCCCATCAATGCCCAGCTCAACCATTTTATTTTGCCAAGCTCTTATTAAATAAGGATGCTTTACATGACCATTTTACCTGGCACCCAAAGGAGGCTAATGAAGCCAAACAGAAGTCAAGAAACAGAATAATAGCTTGGGCCAATGTTTTCTGGTATAATGAGTAGTCCAGTTATTATTCATTTAGTTGACACATCAGTATGGTGTACAGTGATCAGGAATGGGTCAGCTCTTTTTCAGTAAAACTCTAGGCTAGCTATAAGTTGCAAATGGTGACAGGCTTTGCAAATTATGGCCATAGCCACAAATCAAAGGGCAATCTTCATGTGTGCATAGAGTGGAAAGGACTGGTGGCCACACATCCATCTTTGCAGGCACCCAGCATGCGCTGTGATTACCACAAGTCATCGAGGATGAAGGACAGAGATATAATTCTGTTTGCAGCTCACTATGCTTCCCCACTTACATTTTTATCTCCTAATGTCATTACAAAATGTTGACATGCAGAGGTCCTTGGAGCAGTCTCCTCCTAGTGAAGAATCCCAGTCGAATTTATTACCCGAACGTACTCCTTCAATTCACCTCAAGAACATCTTTAACATATTCCTCTATAAAGGGCCACCCTCACAGAGATGAATAAGCAGCACAGGGAAGGTAGAATTGTACACTAGACCCTAACAGTCTAGCACCATAATGTGGGGCCCCCATCACTTTGATGTTTGTGGTGTTTATTTGCTAATAAGAAGAAACAAAAAGAGGTGCTTTTTCATCTTATTATCTGCCTCAGAAAATAATTGTCTAAAAAATTAGCAGTACATAAGATTCCTCTTCTGCATCATCCAGATCCCTTATCGATCCACTTCAGAAATAAAGGATTAAGTGCCCCTGTGGCTGGTAGTGCCCCTGGCAATAGACTTCCACCCAACACCTTTGGTGACTGTCTCAGCTAAAAAAGCCCACTTTCCCAAAGCCGTGTCCCTTTCCTGGCGTAAATGGCACTGAAAAACTGGCTGTCACAGGTATAAAGACCTAGTCTTCTTGCCCTACCTCTGGACAACTCCAAAGGGTCAGTTTATCTTCAGAATTCCCCCACAGGATTTCTGGAGCTTCCATTAAAACTGCATCACACCTCCACTTCTCCTGTCCAGCCTTGTCCAATCTTCCCTTCCCACGCATGGTGTTGATCTCAAAAGCACCCCCTAATAAAACCCCCTGCACACTCACCTCAGGCTCAGAGTCTACTTCCCTGTGAACCTGACTCTACCCATTTCCCCCTTTTCAACACCGAAAAGAAATTGCTTCAAAGAGAACATATCTATTTTCAAATACTGAAATGACTTATTTGGTAGAAAGACAAATCTTTTGCTCATTAAATTCAGAGGAGAAGAGAACTGGGAACAAAGAGTAGAAGTATTAAAAGGCATTATTGGGCTCAATATAAGAAATGCATTTGCAAAAATTATAGGTTCTTAAAATGGAATGGGTCTCATAAGGTAGTGAGCTCTCGGTCACTGTTAGCATTCAAACAAGAGCTGGATTATTATCTAACAGAGGGTTGTTCCCCAGTACATGGGCTGGAAAATTTTATGATTATCCTTAAGACCCAGTTCAAATGTCAGGTCTTTTATGTATGTCATCTTTTC